TGTCCTTTCTTCACAGGAGGAGATCCAGGAGGTAAAGGATGAAGGGAATCTGGAGGTGCTCTTCAATTCACTGGATAAGATTGTGGAGGAGGCAAAGAACCGGGAAGAGCCTGCATGGTATGGATAGTCTTGTGGAAGGCAGTCTGGGGAGCGTGTGTGTGGAGGCGTGCTCCCTCAAGGGCGAAAGTCAGTCCCCGTGTGATGTTTTGGTCATGTTGATGTGTCCTGTAGGCCTTGTGCTGCAAGGGGATTTTTTTTAAACCTCTTGCATCTTAACAGTAACGTTATTGTGTCTAAAACATCCGAAAACAAGTTTTATCTGTGCTCCTCTAGGTCAGGTATCTGCTTCCTCAGTGCAAGGAGGAGGTTAGTGCTGCTGAGACCGGAGGGGAGGAAAACTCAATTCTGAATAATTCAAAAGGCTGACGGCGTGTTTTAGCCACGGCTACTGCTCTAATAGTAGAGTTCACATCAACGTGTCTTGTTAGGGTGCCTTGCTTAAGGACTCGGCAAGCGCTGGACGTTGTACGCTCCGCCTTTTGTTCGCCCTGAAGGCGGGCTGAGTCTTTCAATCAAAAGTGTCATCACGATTTCTTGTTTGGGGAAGTTAATGACGTCCTGCCTGCCTCCAGGCCTCAACTAACAGCTGGGTTTTGGGAAGGGCTCCTCCCGTTCCTTCACGTAGGGCGTTCGGGGGCTACGCAGTGGGGGTGCCCGTTAGACGCACATGTTCTAGCTGGCCTCAAGCATCTGGTGCCAGAGGTAAATTGCTGGGGTCGGTGAGCTGATACGTTATGGCAGCAGCTCAGCTTCCAGCTGAGGTGCGCAAGACTAATTGCTGTGCAGGATTGTTGCCCTCTGGTTGCTTCACATCCCAGTTTGTCCCCAGGCGTCCCAGCGGGATCCCGGAAGAGGACGTTCGCAGCGCTATGGTGCCATACCTCCTCAAGCACAGGTCATACTTGCGGAAAGTCCTAAAGGAGAAGGAGGAAGAGAACAGGACGGTAGCGGAGTCTGTGCTTGCAGGGAGGTATAGGATTGCAGAGCTGCAGCAGCTGATACAAGCTCGCAAACGTGCCTGGCAGGTAAAAATAAAAACCAAACAAATAAAAGCCCCTTCTCTTTGCAGCAGCAGCCTGAAGGAAACAATATTCTGTGGCTTGACTAGCAAATGGCTGCACTGTATTTAAGCCCTCCACTTGTCAAAGGCCTTGCCAGGAGCCAAGTACTGCCGAAATCGGCTGGGGAGGCCCGGGCATTTTCACTGGAGGTCTTGGATGTTTCTGTGGGTGAGCGTGTGGGACTAGGGGGTTGTATTCCGTATGTGCCGGGGGCGGCAGTATGTATGACGCTCTGTTTTGTATCGGCCTGCTTTGTGTCCTGAACTCTGGCATCTGTGGAGAAAAACACTTTGCTGAGTTCAGCGGTGGGTGTTTTATTTCCAGGCAATTAGTAAAGAGCAACGAGAACTCATCATGACATTCAAGGAGCCCCAGTGAGGACGCGGGAAGGTTCTGCATGTGTCGCAGGGGGAGTTTATCCTCATCTCGGAAGCGCTGACGAGGCGTTGGGAAATGGGACTCTGCGCGTGGCGTATACAAACCAGGCAAACTCGCGTTCCTCTCGTCGGGCCAGAAGGAGCTTGAAGTGGGACTGCAAAGCTGCTGGGCTTGCGCAATTTGATCCAAGTTTGTGAAGAAATAAAAAAAGAACACATCAGGGTCTTTGGAAATAGATGACAATTTCCTATTCCCCGCCCAGCTCAACAGGGAGGAGAATCCTACAGATCTGATAGCCAGAGCATGTCTGTACGCTCACACGCTTCTTTAGCGCTGTGGCGGGCATGATTCTAGCTTACCAAAGCCACATCTGTGGCCTCGAAGCTATTTCAGATGTGCATTAGAGAAAAACGGGTGTCTTATGCGCAGAGGCTGTGCTGTGCACAGGAACGAGGAGCCAGGGAGCTGCAGCACGCAAAGCCCGCCACCGGGTAAACGCTGCCGTGGCATTTTGTACAGCTGGAGTGTAAATGGCCACGTTGGACTCTTTTGCCGCGTTTTTGCAGTGTTCATTTTCCGTATCTGCGTCTTTCAGGCTTCAATTCAATCACATTTCAATTTCAATTCAATCAGATTTCTTTCAATCACAATTGTCCGCCCGTGACCCATCAGAACAGGCACGTCAGCAGCTGCTTCCTCGTTGCCGTTTATTCTTTTTTTCCAGTTATTTTCCAACCCTGCTCCCCTCCCAGCAGATACAGGCTGAGGGCGCTTCTCCAAGGACCACAGTGTGAAGGATCCGGGGATGCTTTTAGCCTGGAGAAGAGGAGGCTGAGGGGAGACCTCATCGCTCTCTACAACCACCTGAAAGGAGGTTGTAGCGAGGGGGGGGTCGGTCTCTTCTCCCAAGTAACTGGTGAAAGGACGAGAGGAAACGGCCTCAAGTTGTGCCAGGGGAGGTTTAGATTGGATGTGAGGAAAAATTTCTGTACTGAAAGAGTGGTTAAACATTGGAACAGGCTGCCCAGGGAAGGGGTGGAGTCACCATCCCTGGAGGTATTTAAAAGACGTGTAGATGAGGCGCTGAGGGACATGGTTTAGTGGGCATGGGGGTGTTGGGTTGACGGTTGGACTCGATGATCTTGGAGGTCTCTTCCAACCTTAATGATTCCATGATTCTATGTGCCGTTCGTGCGCGTGGAGACGAGCAGAGGTTCGAATGGTCCTGCCTCGACTATTGTGGGCTCGTGGCAAAGAGATTTGAAGTTTTCCTGTGAAACCTCCGTGTTGACTCCTGGAACCAGACTGGGTTTGGTTTTACCCATCTGGAGTTGTTCTTTCCCGTCTCAGCGGGAGTTTGCCAGCCAGGGAAGCAGGGGCTCGCTGGAGCCTGCCTGCTGGGGCGTTGGTGAAAGCCTGCAAGCGAGGTGTACCTTCAGAACGAAGAAGAGGTCCTTCCTCTGGGCTGGGCAGATAATGAGGAGAGTCTTACTGAGCCTGACAAGGGCTGACTGCGAGTCTAGTTCCAACAGACACCAGGTCTGCCAGGGGCAGCAGGTTCTCTGGTCACCTGCCATCCTCTGCGCCCGTTAACGTTTTTCGGCTGTTAGTGTGTGCTGTCCCGAGGAGAGGCCGTGCCCTGTGTGGTGGGGAAGTACAAATTCTGAGAACAACGGTGGCGATTTCCACCGAGCACAAGCCCCTGTTTTCAATTAGAGGTAGCTAGAGCCTGCGAGTGACTGACTTGGGCATATTTTCCTTCTGTCGTAAACAAGCCTTCCCTCGCTGCATTATAATCTAAATAAATTGGAGCCGTTGTTCCCCTGGTCTTGGCTCCCGCTGTGTGCGCTTGGCCCCCGCACTCTGTAGTTTATGGGTTGGTTTGACAAAGGCTCTGGCTTCAACGTTTCTCTCCTCCTCCACCCCAAAGCCTCCGGTTCCGCTTTTCAAGACAGGGCTGGGATTTATAGGACCTGAAAGTCTGGAGAGTGGTCAGGATCCTAAAGAGGAATGTCACCCCAGGCGGCCCTGGGAGCTCCCGCTGCTTGGAGCCCTCCCGGAATTAAATAGGAGCAAACTCTGGAGGTGGGTGACCGCCCTGAGCGCTGCTGGGGTCTTGTGGAGAGTAGGAAAGCGAAAGGACGGATGAACGAGAGGTTCTGCTTCTCCAGCAGCTCCGCTCCCCTTCGCCTCTGCTCGGCGCCTGAACCACGCCGGCGGCACACTTTTTGTTCTCGCAAAGCCCTGTTTTGGGGTTTTAAGAGGTGCCGGACCTCTTTTCTGAGGTCCTGTTCCCAGGAACAGGCGCTGCCTGGGGCCCTGGCCCTGGCACACAGCGTCTGCCCACGGGATGCGGCACGGGAGAGCTGCGTGGAGCCCGAGGGCAAGGGCACCTGCTCGGCCCCTCTCCTCCTGGGTCATGGCAAGGGGCTGCGATGACGATGCCACGGAAGGAGCACGCGCTGGTCCCCGAGGCGAAAATTGGCCAACCGGGTCCCCGCTGGCCCTGCGCGGAGAGGAAAAAAACCCCACGGGTTTCGGCAGGAAACTCTCCTAGCGGGGCAGCAACCCTGCTGGGGTCCAGCAGCGGGAACCGGGACAGGCCGGTCGGTGACTGAGGAGGCCAGCGAGGAGTCCCACCAGCCCCCCCCCCATCTCCCATCCCGGCAGGGGGCGGGGTTTTACCCCCCCCCCCCCCGTCTCCCATCCCGGTTAGGGGCTGGGGGACTGGGTGCTTGCCAGGCCGGCAGGGCTGGGCCCACCAGCAAATCTCCGCTGGCCTGGAGCTGCGTTTTCCTCCCTGTGGGCTCCGGCCGGTCGCAGGGGAACCAAGTTGACCCCAAACCACAATTGCCGCCTGTGCTGGCGGCTCCTGGCCCCAGCGGATGTGCTGGAAATAGCCCTGGCAGGGCCACGGGGCCCCTCCTTGACAGCAGTCGCAGCACCCTATAAAGCTGCTCGGGTCGCAGGGGAACCAAGTTGACCCCAAACCACAATTGCCGCCTGTGCTGGCGGCTCCTGGCCCCAGCGGATGTGCTGGAAATAGCCCTGGCAGGGCCACGGGGCCCCTCCTTGACAGCAGTCGCAGCACCCTATAAAGCTGCTCGGGGACCGGGGGGGCTGCACT